TAACTTTAAAGTCCTAATCCCCAGTAACTGGGAGGAGACTGGATTTGGAAAAAAGTCTTCCAACAGGTAACTAAGTTAAAAGGAAGTCATCAGGATGGGCCCTAAGCCAGTGTGACTGACATCCTTATAAAAAAAACGTGGACACAGAAGTGTTCAGGGGACCAACACGAAGGGAGAAGATGGCCATTCACAGGCCAAGGAGAGGAGGGAAACACATTCCTCACAACCCCAGAAGGAACCCATCTTGCCGACCCTGTGACCTCGGAGTCCAGCTTCTGGAACCAAAATAAGGTGAATTCGTGTTACCTAAGCCACCCAGCCTGTGGCACTTCGTTACAGCAGCCCTAGGAAACACACACACACACACTCCCCTACCTCATAACCGTGGGCAGTTTAACCATGAAAGCATGTAAGGAATCACAGTGAGGGCAGGAACAGTGACCCGCAGAAACAGGGAAATGAAACATGCAAGTAAAAAGAGCTGGCCAGCACCCTGGGATGCACTGAACGGTGCACTGATCCAAGCCGACAGCGTGAGGGAAGCTCAGAACCCCTGGGCTAACCCTCAACGTGCCTCGCTCCCCCCACCTTTTACCCCTCTAATTCATGTCTCCTCTGCATCAGGGCTGAATTTCAAATCATGTCAAGTAACCAGTTCAACACTCTCATGGATTCCAACTGCCCTAAGGATAAAAAAATCTATGGCCAACATTTTAATGCAGCTGGTTAAGCTGCCACTTACAATGCTGGCATCCCATATGAGTGCCAATTCGAGTTCTGGATGCTCCACTTCTGAGTCAGAGCCCTGCTAATGCGTCTGGGATAGCAGAGGAAGGTGGCCCAAGTACTTGGAGCCCTGACAACCACGTGGGAGACTGGAACAGAGTTCCAGCTTCTGGTTTTGGCCTGGCACCACACAGGCTGTTGCGGCCAGTTGGGGAGTGAACCAGCAGATGGAAGATCTCCCTGTCTCTCTCTCATTTGAAATTATGCCTTTCAAATTAACTAATTAATCTTTTTTTAAAAAAAAAATGAAGATAAAAAAATCTTGTCTCTTCTTCCCTCCATCATCAGCTCCCCACCATACCAGCATCATTTCATGGCCCCAATCCTTTCTCCTTTCCCCTCCGACTTAGTTTCTGTCACATGAATCTCCAGGTTTTTTAACAGCTTCTTCTGGTTTCAATGGTTTTCCCCCAAGCTGTCCAATTTGCATGGAATGATATCCCCACTCTTATCTCCTTTAACCAGAGAATCCCTATTCATCCTTCAGATCTCCGCTGATTAAATAAGTAGGCTTCTGTTCTTCTAACTGTAATTAAACCAATTATGCAATTACTTAAAGCCTGTATCTCCAAGTAGACTGTAGGGAACTATGTCTAGATAACAGCGATATCCCAGGGTCTAGCACTGTGCCTAATTCATAAGTATCCAAGGAATATTTGTTGAATGAAGAGCAGTAGTTCAATGAGGAAATGGGGTTTTGTGTGGTGGGAGCTTACAGCCAGTTGGGTTATTTCTCACAAACCTTCCTAAATGCTCATAATCAGTGGCCTCTGGTTGAATTCTGTGTAATATAGGTGCTGAGGCACTGTGGCATAGAGGGTTAAAGCCCCAGTCTGCAGTGCTGGCATCCCATATGGGTGCCGGTTCGTGTGCTGGCTGCTCCACTTCCGATCCAGCTCTCTGCTATGGCCTGGGAAAGCAGTGGAGGATGGCCCAATCCTTGGGCTCCTGCACCCATGTGGGAGACCCGGAAGAAGCTCCTGGCTCCTGGCTTTGGATCAACACAGCTTTGGCTATTACAGCCATTTGGAGTGAACCATTGTGGTTGGAAGACCTCTCTCTGTCTCTCCCTCTCTCTGTAACCCTCTTTCAAATAAATAAAGTAAATCTTTAAAAAAAAAAAAAGATAGATGCAGAGTGAACAGCTTTGGCCCTGAAACTACCGCCTCCATGCATCCTAGGCGCAGTAATTATAGCCTTTCAGAGAAAAGCCCAGCCCCCAACTTGCATGATTTTGCATGCTAGGATCCCCAATTTCTGAAATTAAATGTTTAGAGTTCTTCATAGTCCTGCATATCGGCACTCTTCAGGGAAGAGTGGAAACTCAAAGCCCAGGCCTAGCTCTGCCCTGACACCACACAACAGTCACTGACCTGATCTCATTCCTAAAGTGACCAATTTCTGGCAGGCCTGGTAATTCTAAGGCAACATGCAGTGCTAACAGCTGCCACGAGGTGGTGCTACTCCCCTAATATGCAACTTGAAAATGGAATTCAGCTGCCTGGATGGTCCCCCCAGACCAAGAAAGTTGGGGAAGTTTGGGATTCAGAAGAAGGTGACCGCTGGCAGCCCTCGTCAGTCATCCATGAGATAAACGGCTTCCGTCCCAGGCTTGACCAGACAAATCAGATGAGTACCAGTGTGGATGCTCCACGGCTTTATTAACTCCCCTTTCTGGGGGTGGCAGGACCTCATAGCTGGAGAGCTGAAGGGGAGCCAGGATGCCAAGGGCTCAGTATGGGTCATTAAAGGGGTACAGAGGATGTCCCGCATCTCTGGGGACCCTCTTGCCATCCATCTGAAAAAAAAAAAAAAAGAGACAGACAGGTGACCTCATTAGCAGAAGCTGCACCAGCAAAGACTCTGGGCATCTCCCCCAAAGCCTTCTGAGCAACCTCATCCGTGAGCAGCACTATAGCAGATGGCAGGGCCCCATCCTGGCCACAGGAAATACCACTTGGTACCAACAGCACTGCAGCACCACACCCAAGCCTGGTACTAGCTGCTCCTGCCCCTAAGAGTTTGCCGTCATAACTGGGACCAGGTGCCCAGGAATTTTTTATTTCCTTTTGTGCCACAGCCTTCAGTCCCAACCTAACTCCTACAGAAAGGTCAAGAATGGGATTGCCAATGTGGCACAGAGGCAAACCGGGGGCCAGAGTGTGCCCCAAGGGGCTGAGGACCACAGAACCCCTTCCCAGGTACCTGGATGTTCTGCAGGATGCGGGAAGGAGTGACGCTCTTGGGGATGCAGATTACTTTCCGCTGGACCTGCCACCTAAGTGGGCGATAGGGCAGATGGGGAAGAGAAGTCAGATTCCTAAGAACACTTTGTCCTCCACGGAGCCTTTGCAAAGCTCCTGGAGCACCTGGCCCTGTGGAATGTGAACACCTAGCCTTCAAATACAATAGAAAGCCCTTAGCACTAAAATAGAAAGCCCTTAGCACTTGCCTCCCCACTCTGACCACAGCCGCTTCTCCCAAGAACACCACACACCTGATCAAGATCTGGGCTGGTGATCGGCCGTACTTTTCAGCCAGTGCCAGGACCACGGGTTCCTCCAGCAGAACAGGCTCATCAGGATCACGCCAAGCACGGTCAGAGGAGCCCAAAGGGCTGTAAGCAGTCACCTCCAGGCCACGTGCTTGGCAGTGGGCAATCAGCTCATTCTGAGCCAGGTATGGGTGGCATTCCACCTGAAACAGGAACAAGCCATCACGCAGGGTGGCTACACACAGCTGCCTGGCCCCACACATGTCAGGAACCAGCTCCAGTGCTGATCTCCCACCTCCCCTCAGCTTGCTCGTCCCACCGAGTTCCACTGGCAATTCCATTGTCTCCATGGCTTCAATGCCCATCTTTTTTTTTTTTTTAAGATTTATTTATATTTTGAAAGTCATATTACACAGAGTGAGGAGAGGCAGAGAGAGAGAGTGAGAGAGGTCTTCCATCCGATGGTTCACTACCCAGTTGGCCACAACGGCCGGAACTGCCCCAGACTCCCTACTGAAGGCCCTGGCAAGGCTCACTCAAAAGCATGAGGCCAGGTCCAGATACTCCAGCTGGAGGTCGGCCAGTGTCTTCCGGAGGGCAGGCTCCACATCCTCAGGGTGGTGCTTGGTGTTCCACAGCTTGGATGTCACAAACAGCTCCTCCCTGGGCCTCACCAATCTCAGCCTCTTTGCCGTATGCAGCAGCATACTCTGTAGCTGTAGCCTATGCTAAGGGCATATTTAACAGCTGCTTTTACCTGCCAGGAGAGAGAAGTTTCAGTTCTGTCAATCTGGCCCAAAAAGTACCCTTGCCCTCCCCTCCCCACCACCGAGGGTTACAAAGAGGGGAGCAGGACTATACCAAAGTTATTCATGCAGTGGGGTAAGATGAAAGGTGGTTGTGGTCCAGAGGACCATAACCTCTTTTGATGCCTCAAAATTCATTCTGTCCCCACCCCTACAGCTCCGAAGGTGTCTTACCACTGGAGCCATTAGAACAACAACAAAAAATAACATATTCTCAGCATTTAGCATCTACCAAGAGATGGATTGATCCCAATTATAAGGTCCCAAGCAGCTAAGGGAAACAAAAGGGAAAAAAGGTTGTGGCTACCTATCCTGCTGTTCCCTAGCACAGGCCAAGTCCCTCTCCTCTTCCCCCAGCCTCACCTGGCCAGGCTCACTCTTCCAGGTGCCCAGACCAATTAGGGGCATCTTCTGCCCAGTGTGCAGAATGACACAGGAAGCCATCACTGTCCCCTGAAACAGATGGGAAGAGAATGGTGTAGGGGTTAGTGCTATAATCGGGACCTCAGCCACCTGCTGGCCAACATCTCTACGAAACATGGGTCTGGAAGTGGGTAGGACAGAGAGGACAAATGTGGGCAATAAACACGTGACTATGTGGATGTGCCTGTAGGAGACACAGTAGAGACACACAGGGGATCTAAACCCATCTAAACCAAGTATCTCCTGGATAAACACTAACCAGGCTACCTTCCTAGAGGCCCTTCCTTCCAGGCTAAAGGCCTGTGTAGAGTTCCAGCATCTTACAATGCAGGCAGATCTAAAGCTGAAAGTGGTGTGGCTCCCCTGAGGCACAGAGACTTACCTAAATAAGATCTCAGGACAGTGAATGTCAACCAACTGCAATCATGACAAACAGAGTGGCAGTGTTGTAGCAGGTAAAGCCACGGCTTGTGATGCCAGCATCCCATACGGACAACAGTTTGAATCCCAGATGCCCTACTTCTAATCTAGCTCCCTACTAATGCACCTAGGAAAGCAGCAGAGGGTGGCCCAAGTGTTTGAGCCCCTGCACCCACATGGGAGACCTGGAAGTCTCCAGGCACCAAGTCATTGTGGCCATCTGGGGAGTGAACCAGTGGACGGAAGACCTCTCTGTCTCTCCCTCTCTCTCTGTAGCTCTGCTTGATGGTCACACAATAACATGTTGGCATTTCACTGAGTTCCCAGCATGCAAGGGAGAGCTCTGAAATTATGCCTGGGAAACAGTTCCAACAAAAGCCAGGCCTGGGGTGGGGGCAGAGGAAGAAACTTGAATATTGCTTTTCCTTTCTTCTGCAGGTACAACTGACAACCTGAAAGGGGTGCAGTTTGCAGGACAAAGAGGTAGGAAGCCCTAATAAAGACCCTCAAAGAACAAGAATTTCCAAAGGAGGAGTGGAGGAGCACCAGTAGAAGATGTATGTTTCTCCCTGGGATAAAGCCATCCTCAGCCAGCTCCTGACTTCCTGCTCTGCCCAAGGCAACAGCTTTCCAGGCTGCTCTTCAGTGAACAGACACCAGGCCTGGGTTTGCCAGGAAGCACCTGCTGCATCTCAGGCAGCACCAGAAACCTTCGCATTATCTCGAGGTGTAAAGTGAGAAGCCAGGAGTGCGGCAGAGAAGAGCGCAGGATCAGGTCTCAGGTTCTACCACTCCCAACTCAGTGTCCAGGTTCCTTCTCCTGAGGTTCTGCCTTCCCTTCTCCGAGGAGGGCTCCAAGGTGCTACACGCACAGAACCCAGAGACCCACAGACTGGGGCAGCAGCGTTTATGAGTGGTTGCTGGGCTTTTCCTCCACATCCCGCAGATGCCGTGTCCCCAGGAACTTTGTCCCAATTCTCTTCTCACCTCGTGGTTGAGTTCAGGTCTTTGGTTACTACCTGAAGCCCTGATTCTTCCCACTCTAGCTCTGTACATTCAACTCACATCCTGCAAGTATCTGAGACTCAACAAGTCCAAAATTCTACTCCTCCAATCCAGCAGCAGCAGCAGCAGCAGCAGCAGGGGCATGTGTTTGGCCTAGTGGTTAAGACACCAACATCTCACATCAGCTGGCTCCTGATTCCAGCTTCCTTCCAATCAAAACCCTGAAAGCGGGCTGTTGATATGGCACAGCAGGCTAATCCACTGCCTGCATCACCAGCATTCCACCTGAAGTTCTGGTTTGAGTCCTGGTGGTTCCACTTCTTTTTTAAGATTTATTTATGGGGCCAGCGCTGTGGTGTAGCAGGTAAAGCCGCTGCCTGTAGTGATGGCATCGCATATGGGTACTGGTTCGAGTCCCGGCTGCTCCACTTCCCATCCAGCTCTCTACTATGGCCTGGGAAAGCAGTAGAAGATGGCCCAAGTCCCTGGGCTCCTGGCTTTGGGTCAGTGCAGCTCCAGCTGTTGTGGCCAATTGGGAAGTGAAACAGCAGATGGAGGACACCCCCCCCCCCCGCCTCTCCTCTCTCTCTGTAACTCTTTCAAATAAATAAAACTTTTTAAAGAAAGATTTATTTAGGGGCTGGTGCTATAGTGCTGTAGGGCAGTGGGTTAAAGCTCTGGCCTGAAGTGCCAGCATCCCATATGGCCGCCGGTTGTAGTTCCGGCTGCTCCTCTTCCAATCAGCTCTCTGCTATGGCCTGGGAAAGCAGTAGAAGGTGGCCCAAATCCTTGGGCCCCTGCACCCATGTCGGAGACTCGGAAGAAGCTCCAGGCTCTGTTGCAGTCATCTGGGGAGTGAACCAATGGATAGAAGACTCTCCCTGCCTCTTCTCTCTCTGTGTAACTCTGACTTTCAAATAAATAAAAATAAATCTTAAAAAAGATTTATTTATTTATTTGGAAGGTGGAGTTACAGAGAGGCAGAGAGAGAGAAAAGTCTTCCATCCAGTTGTTCACTCCCCTAAGGCCACAACAGCTGGAGCTGGGCCAATCCAAAGCCAGGAGCCAGGAGCTTCTTCCAGGTCTCCCAGGTGCAGGGGTCCAAGCACTTGGACCATCTTCCACTGCTTTCCCAGGCCATAGCAGAGTTGTATCAGAAGTAGAGTAGCCGGGTCTTTACTGGCGTCCATATGAGATGCCAGCACTGCAGGTTGCGGCTTTACCCACTATGCCACAATGCCAGCCCTGGCTGCACTTCTGATCCAGCTCCCTAATGTGCCATGGAAAGTATCAGAAGATGACCCAAGTCCTTGGGGTCTTGCACCCATGTGGGAGACCCAAATGAAGCTCCTGGCTCCTGGCCCAGTCCTAGCCATTTTGGCCATCAGGGGAGTGAACCAGAGACAGATCTCTTTATATTTGTGTGTATGTGTGTGTGTGTGTGTGTGTGTGTGTGTTTACCTCCTCTCTGTAATTTTGACTTTCAAATAAATAAGTAAATCTAAAAATAAATAAATAGATTAGATACTCTGGAAGGCAGCTGATAATGGTTCAAATGTTTGGGTCTTTACCACATTCACTTGAATTGAGTTCTTGACTCCTACTCCCGCCCATTATGGGCATAGGAATGAACATGAACCAGGGGCTGGG